TGATCATGAAGAAATAGTTGGAGCTGGACTTGGGAGAGAGAGAGACAGAAGGAGGGGGGAGGGAGGGAGGGGAGGGGAGGGGAGGGGAGAGTGAAAAAAGGCAGGAAATAGAAACAAGTCATTCTGTGAGGGTTTTCTGGATCACTGAGCCAATCCTTTTCAACCTCGAACTTAACATTCAGATCTGGTCTGGACCACACCATGATGAGGAGGACTGTGTGCCCTGAGCCCATCAGTGGTCTTGTACAGATCAATAACTTAGTTCTATGCTCAGGGCAACTTAATTAACGTCCCTAATAAGCATTAGTTTCCTCATCTATGAAGCTGGAAATACTCATTGTACCTCATGCCAGTTATACTATTAAGACTATAAGTGATAATTCCTTAGGGAATTTATTAGGTGTTCTGTCAGCACCAAAAAATACTCTAGGCTAATTATCGGTGACCACACGATTACACCACTCCTCAGATAACAAGGCCATGCATGATGCCAGCCTTCCAGCTGGGACTCAGAGCTGAATTACAGACATCAGATTCCCAGAGCTGCAGAAGATCGCAATAGCCTGGGGCTAGCCTAAACTCCTGGCCATTGCAGGAGAATATTAGACTCCAATTAGACTTCAAGGTAAACTGGTCTTGCAACCTTCAGGAAGTCCTGTCTGCTCTCTTCCAGTTTGCCAAGACTTCCCTTCTGAGCTCTGATCCTCTCTCATCTCACTGAACAGGTGCCTTTACATCTCCATGAGGGTCTCTGGGGGACTTGAGATGGACCACAGCTACAAATGGCCCTGAATCTTCTCTCTCAAACCCTCTCCTCTCCTCTCATTTTAGGAAGATTTCCAAGTTGGAAGTCTCCCCCAAGTGTCTGTGTTAATTATGATGAGCTGTTTCTGCAGCAATGGGGGGAGCTCCGTGTAGACATGTCCGGTCCATTGCGGGCTACTCCCTGTCTGCTAGTGTCCCCAACACTGGGCTTTTCCTGTGTCATATATATCACTGTCCATGCCTTTGGTGAAGAATGAGGTAGGATTTTGGGAGTCTCTCTTTCTGGAATCTTCCCCCACCTGCTAATTTCCCCCTAGCAACCTTTAGTTGTCTCACAGTGTCTTCTAAGCATCACCTCCTTCAGGATGCCGTCTCTGAACACAAGCCTGGGTTAGTTCACCCAGCTGCTCTCTCAAGACTTCTGACTCTTCTCACAGTAGTCATGAGTGCATGCCTGTGCCTGAACCTTCAGCTAGCCTGCAGGCCCCACTGTGTGCCCACCCATCCTCCACTGTTATTTACAGTGCTGCACCAGTATCTAGAAGGTGCTAGATCTTCAGGACAGATTTCCTGAGTGGATGAGAAATATCAGTAGCTACAGTGTGGCAGGCAGAATGGTGATGGTCCCTGGTCCCCAGCCTCTGTTGTGCCCATCTGTGGGGCTCATCCTCTAAGCCATAGATTAGTGTTCATGAGGATGGAGCCCTTCCAAGATGGGGTTCCACATGAGGATGGATGGAGCCCTTGTGTGACAGGTTTTGGTTACATAGCAAAACGGAAGTGGTCTGAAGAAATAATTTCTAACCACTTAACTATGTTGGTGCAGAGCCTGTTGCAGTGAAGATGACAGATAGCACTAATGCTTGTGGCATCAGGTAGGGAGTCCACATACAGAATTCCCTTGAAGCAAAATTAGGACTAGTACAATCACTTGAATTAAACTTATGAAGAGGCCAGTATCGTGGGTGGACCCGACCTAATCTGATGAGCTCCTTTACAGTGGAGCGGGAGCTCAGAGGCAGTGAAAGTAAGGGTGTTTTTAGGTCATAGAGACTCTTTTGCCCTGGTAGAAGAAAACTACCATGTTGTGAGTGTGTAACTGTGGGGGTCATGACAGGACAGTGAGAACACATTGCTATGTCCTTGGTTTATGTCTGTAGCACACGGCACATTGCCGTGTTCTGTGATCCTGGAATCCTGGGTGGTGCTGGTGGGCTTCCATGGGGCACTATGTCTCCAGGGCCTACTGAGGGACAGCACTACTGTGATTGTGTGAACACACACATCCACACACATTCAGTACATATACACACATAACACACCTACATATACATACAGAAAACACACACATGCACACCACACATACATACCATATAGACATACACATGAATGCACACTGCACATATACACACAAATGCACATACACACATATGCATACAAAAAACCACACCACACACATACACGTGCATACATATACATGCATAAACTCACCCCAGATACACATACACACATATACACCACACACATACACATATGTACACATATATATACACCAGACACACATACACACACATACATATACCATATATACATACCACAGACACACATACAACATACATGTACACTACACACACATACACACATATGCATATACACATATATACCTACACACATGCACACCCACACATATACACATGTATATATAAACTTAAACATCACACATACACATATGCGCACATATATATACACCAGACACATATACATACATATACACATACATACACCATATATACATACCACACAGACATACATACAACATACATGTACACTACACACATACACACCACATATACACCACATATGTACACTACACATATACACACATACGCATATACACATATATACCTACACATATGCACACCCACACATATACACATGTGTGTATATAAACTTACGCATGCACATACACACACATACACATACCAAACACATATATACAGACACTACACACACATCACACACATATGTATATGCACATACAACACACCATGCACATACACACAGATATATGTTAACACATATGTTCACATACAGACACATACACATCACATACATGTGTGCATGCATATACAATCACACATATGCATATATGCATGTGTATACACATCACATATATACACACATACACATGCATATGCATATACATATACACACACACATCCCATACATACACACAAAATACACACACCTGAGCTCACACCGCCTCACCTCTTAGCCCATCAGGATGCACTCACACGGGCACGCTCTGTGATCTGGATGATAAACGTCCCACAGGCTCATGTGTTGGGCATGTGGTCCTAGGCTGGTGGTGCTGTTTGGGAGGTTATGGAAACCTTGGGAGTCATGCTGGAGGAAGTATGTCACTGTGGGTGCTCTTTGAGGTTTCATAGCCTGGCCCCACTTCCTGTTCTCTCTCACTGCTTCCTGTGTGGATGAGATGTGATGAGCCAGCTCCCTGCTCTCACCTCCACACCTGACTTGCACACCTTCCTGGCCATGAAGCACCTCTCTGGATAAGCTAAAACAAACCCTTTCCCCATCAAGTTGCTTTGTCAGAATGTTTATTCAAAGCAACAGAAAAGTAACATACATTCTTCATGCCTTCCACGCTACACAAATCTCCAGATCTGCTGGTCAAAGGGTTCTTCGGAGCCTCGAGGTTCATGTTTTCACTCTTAGGGTTCTGTTCAGATGTCCCACAGGGGAATGCTTCGTGGATGAGGAGGAAGCAGAGATCATGCCTTCCACCTGCTGAGGCCTTCCCACATAACACCTCCCAGTCACACATCAACGATGTGCTTAGTAAATATTTGAACTTAAACATGGTTGGCGCTATGTACACATATACAATGTTTACTTTTGCATAAAGCGCTCACAGCTGAGTCTGGCAGAGGCTGCAGACCAAAGACAGCTGTGGATAATTAATAGATTGCGCTCTCTCTGCAACTTTCTCCCCATGGCTGCACTCATGTTATAGTTTTGGCAAATAATATGACATTAACATTTCACAAATGTTTTACAATTCAGAGTTCCTTGTGCTTAGAAGCAGAAAGTCAGATCAGCAAGTAATCTCTTGTACCGTAGCAATAGCAGATGTGTAAGTTCTTACTGATTGAACTGTCTTAGAAGCAGATCTGAAACTTCAGCAACTCTCACCCCAAGATGATAGCACTGGACCTGACAGTAAGATTTATGGATCTGAGACCTGGTGGGTATGGTAGTATGAATGAGAATGTTCCCCATAGGCTCCAAGTATTTGGGCATTTTGTTCTCAGTTGGTGATGCTGTTTTAGGAGGTTTTAGGAGGTGTGGTCCTTGCTGGAGGAAGCACGTCACTGGGGGTGGGCTTAGAGAGTTCTTAAGCCTCACCAGATTTCTAGTCCCTCTCTGCTTCCTGTGCCTGCTTGAGATGTGAGCGCTAGGCTTTCTGCTCCAGCCACCTCTGCCGCTGTGCCTCCCCCACCGTGATGGACTCTGATCCCTCTGGAACTGTAAGCCAAATAAACTCTTCTTTTGATCAGTTGCTTTGGTCAGTGTTTTTATCACAGCAACAGAAAAGTAACTGAGACAGTGTGAATGTCATCATAGGCCTCAGGATGTGTTGCTGAGCCCAAGAATCCCTGAGACTGAGAAGCGAAGGTATAAGAGAGCTCTTCTCCAAACAAGTATTTTGGTCACAAGTATTGATTGTAAAACTGAACATTATTTACTACTGGATAAACACCCCTACCCTATTTTGCGTTATCAGTGACCTAAGTAAGGCAGAATTCAAACCCTTAGGCCCCTCAGGATTAAGGTTTTTTAAACATTAGTAAGAAGTATGTTGCACACAGAACACTAATCTATTTGTATGATAATCTTCCTTTAATTGCGAGAAAATCAGCAAACACCAAAAAGAAGAGATTAGAGAATATTGGCAATTATTTGCCTGGCATTCTGTCCATATATTTTACAGAATTTAGTACAGGTTGGTGGTCTAAACTTCAAATTATGAGGCTTTCTAGTAGAATAAGCAGGTTCTGTATTCTCAACTGGGTGAAGCATTCGTCAAATGATGATTAGCCAGCTTTCAGAATCATACTCTGCTACACTGTAGAAATCTGTACTTACACTAGATACTGAATCTATTATGGTGGTTGGCAAGTTCTCATTTCTAAATTACCCATTTTTTCTACCCATCTCTGTTCCATTTCATTTTGAAAATGCCGATTTATCCTAATTAAATACTGACACCACTTTGTGAGTTCTTTGTCTCAAACCACCAGAATGGGCAGAATTCCCCACCTCCTCCTTGAGGTGTGGCAGGGTCTCCCGCAGTCAGTCATCACTCCGTACTGGATACAGAGATAGAGACGAGGTGATGGACACATTAGACCTCAGATTCTAAATTGAGACAGAAAACTATTATTTGTAAAACTGGATGACTAATTGAAAATGGATCCCAAATTGCCAGTCGATAGGAGCTGTGGGCAGCTTCTCTTGCTGGATTGCCACCCATTCCTCTGGAAAGCACTGATGCCCAACTTTATGCTGTGAACCCATTTGCTTCACATACAATAATTTCAGTGATATCTGTAACCCTGCTTAGTAATGGGAGAGTGCCACCCCTCCTCTGATGCGGGGGGGGGGGGGGAGAATCAAGCGCCCAGCATGGGGCAGCAGCTGGCTGCATGTAGGGGGGGGTGCTCACCTCACCGTCTGCAGACATTCATTCAGTGTGGTCTGATGGCTGTGACAACCTGGTTCACAGGACCTTCCAGTCTGCGAAGGTGAGGTGCTCCGAGACACAGACAGCGAGGCAGAGTAGAGCATTAACACAGCTCTCTACCACATTTTACAATTCAGCTATGGCTCGGTTTCTGGAAACTTCAATACATGAGTGACTTCCTAATGACACTGTGTTTTGACTTTAGATTTCCTGAAATGATCCAAAGTCTTTGAGTGGAACTGGAGGAAGGTACATGTTCCAGAAAAACTAAAGTAAGGACAGATATGTGCAGATACCGTAACATGGGGAAGTCTGGAGAGGCAGTGGAGTAAGGTGACAGGGTGCATGGACTGCGGGAGAACAGGGCCTGGCTCCCCAAGGGAAGAGCAGGTGGGAGAAGACATGTGGGTGCCTGGTGATCATGGATCAGGATGGGAAGGGCGGGAGGGGCCCATCCTCACCCAGAGCCTGAGTCCCGAGCTTTGCTTCAGGGACACATGTGAGATGGGGCGGAAGAACAGCATGTCTGAGATTCCATGCAGCTGAGGAGGTGCAGGTGCCAAATCAGCCAGCATCAGCTAGAGCCCAAGGGGACATGGCAAGGGCTCTGCCCCAGACTTGCCCACTTCCTGGGGAACAGCGTCCTGTCTGAAGAGGAGTGAATTCAGAGCCAAGTCTACACAGTGCTCCAGTGTCCCATGCCGGCCTGTGTCTGGTATGATCTAGTGATGGATGTTTCTGGAAGGGTCCTCAAGGGCATGAGTTTGACACTGGTTGTTCCTTCACTAAGGTGCTGTGCTTTTCTGTCACTCTCCCGGGTACTCGAACCTAGCCCTAACCGCCGCTCAAAAAGCATTACAAGGAACCTGAGTGTCTCTCTTAAAACAGTGAAAATACAGATCCAGATTGTGTGGAGCAGTGAGGGTTGCTGGTCTGAAGGAAAGCGGACAGTGAGTTATACACGCGCTTAGTTACCACGAATCCTTGTGAGAATTTATAGTCTTGCTGAAGCTGTGAAATCGAGGCTTTCTAAAGTGAGCCCACCAACATCAAATAAGACGACTTAGGCCAGCACAGAATTTTCGAGTTAAAGAGCTAACCTTGGTGACTGAAGTTATTCTAATAGGACACAAAGCAGGTGCCGCAGGTGCAGGAGCACTGGGACAGTTTGAAACAAAAACCAACAACCAAAAAGAAATGAACTAGAGAGGAGAGGGGAGAGGAGGAGGAGGAGGAGGAATATATGAATCTGAGAAGTGGCTCTGAGAGACAAGAAGAGAGAGAAGAGACTGGAGGCAGAGTTTTAAGAGTCATGGTAGTCAGAGTGGTGACACCCCAGTTTGCCCAGAACAGTCCTCATGTTAGCTCTCAAAGTCCCATATCTTAGGAACCATGTCATCTTAGAAGGGGGAGGGGAGGAGAAAAATTTGCAGGGCAAGAGAAGTTCGGTAGTGGTGTCAAGCAAGGCATCCTGAGAGGTGAAGGCCTGACTTGTGCTGCACTGTGTACAAGAGAGCAAGGCCAACGGAACCCTGTCGGACACAGCCTTCTCGGCAGTGGCTTCACCTGAGGCTGCCCCTTGGCAGGAGTCCAGCATGGCCTTGGGTGTTTAGATGGGATCTGATCTTCCCCCTCAGTTCCCACTCTGCAACTCACCATCCTCCTTGGTACGGGTAAAGATCTGCTCGCTCCGAACGCCATCCCCTGCGCGGGTGAAGGCCAGCACCTGGATACTGTAGTTGGTGTATTTCTCCAGCCCGTCCAGCTCCAGGGACGGCTGCGTGGTAGTGACGTTCTTAATCTCTCCCAGCTCTGGAGAACAAGACCAGAGGATAGGGTCCATTACCAGGTCTGTCACGCTCTCTGGCTGTCCTTTCTGTCACACACTGGAAGTGCAGGCAGAGGGTGTAGAGGAACATCATGGACACTAACACCTTGTGGCCATTTGCAAAAAGTTACCTACATCAAATGTTTCAGAACATCAGGCAGAAAATTGGTCTGGTAAACAGTAATTTGGTGTAGGTCAATCAAATCCTGGTGCCAAGCTGCCTCTCAAGGAAGCGTTGCCATGGGAAAGCTCAGCATTATGTGCCTCTCACTGACGAGCCATCGTTACATGACTATCTGCTGACCTTTATGCAGCTTCTGCAAGTGAGGATTTCATTTTTTGTAATTTTATTTATTTTTATTTTATGAGTGTATTGCCTGTATGTCTGTAAGTGAACCCATGTCATGCAATGCCTGCAGAGGTCAGAAGTGGGCTTTGGATACCCCTGAACTGGAGTTATGCACAGCTGTTATCCACCATGTAGATGCAGTCAGCACCCTTAACCAACTCTCTAGTCCAAGGATTTCATATATATATATATATATGTATATATATATTTCTTTTTCCATTTTAATGTGTGTATATGTATGCATGTTTTGCATGTGTGTAGATACATATGGGTATGTGTGGCTGTGCATGCACATATATATGTGCATGCATGTGGAGGACCAAGTTTGATGTTGGAAATCATCCTCAATGACTCTTTCACCTTATACATATGTGTGTGTGCACATATATGTGCACGCATGTGGAGGACCAAGGCAGGGTCTCTCAGTCAAACCCAGAGCTCACTGATATGGCTGGACTTGCTAACCAACTTTCTATAGGGAATCAGTTTCTACTTTCTGAGGCTAGAATCACAGGTGGGTTGCCATGCCCACCTGGCATGTATGTGGCTTCTGGGGGTCTAGACCCCCAGCCCCACTGTTGGTCTTTTTGGAACTCTCCATTATGCCTAGATGTTAATCTCAAACATCTAGGCTAAGACGTACTCAGTGGGCAAATTTCAACTTCACAAGATAACACTGACTGTAGTCAGCACTCTACATTACATCTCCAGAAAATATTCATGTTCCATAACTGAAACTTTACATCCTTCAGAAACAAAATGTTATTGTGCTGCAGTCTGATGGATAAGCATTGGTTTGATGGTGGTAGACTTTCACAAAGTTCTACTCATCAGAATGCCAAGGTGCACTTCTTAAACGAATAACAACTTGAAACGGTCAAGAAGGCACTGGAAAGATGGCTCAGTGGCTAAGAGCACTGGCTGCTCTTGCAGAGGGCCCATGTTTGATTCAAGCACCCACAGAGAGGCTAACAACCACCTGTAACTCCAGTTCCAGGGGGTCTGACACCCTCTTCTGGCCTCCATAGGCATTGCATGACACAGGTGCACCTACATACATGCAGGCAACACACATACATAAAATATTATTTTAAAAAAGAAATGATCAAGAATATGATTGAGAATATTTAAGAAAATAACAAGTCTGCACTGATCTGAGTGGATCAGCACACCTAGTTTCACCCAGAGTGAACTCTTTACGTCATTGCAGAATTAACAGGTGATGTGGGAGAAACTTGGAGCTTGCTAAGTGCTTTCTGGAATGGGTCCCACAGTGCAGTTCAGAGATAGAATGCTGCGCCCCCATCTTTGTCAGAAAGCAATTCGAGAGCACTTAGAATGATGTGGCAAGTGTCTATACCATGTGCAGCCTCAGGTTTAGAAGGGAGTCGCTTCCAGAGGCAGGACAGGAGCATGAGGAGGTGGCCTGAAATTCAGGCCAGGGTCACTTGGCTGTGTGGAGGGTACCGGGCACTGTGTGACTGCTAATTTAAAGTGACCAGGATGTGAGCTAGAGGCCCAGGGACACCTGCTGGCTTGAAGCACACCTTTGGGCATGTTCTGGGAGCAGCAGGAGCTGAGTCCTTCCCTCTTATCTCAGCAGAGGTGGGAACTGGCCAGGCCAGCTCCCTAGGCACCAGCACTGTCCTCATGACCAAGATGGACAAGCTGAGGCAGCTCGACGGTCTATGACTTCACGGCCCACCATCAGAAAAGCAGGATGCTGAGAGGCAGAGCCTGGGCAGACCACACGGCCCCACATTCACTGTCTACAGTTTGGCCGTTGTGCCCTGGACACCTGGTGAGCCAAGGGAGATGCAGATGGAAGGTGTGTGCTGGCCGGACTCAGTGTGCTGTGGCTGCCCGGGTCTCCCTGATGTCAAGAGCCTCCCACTTTGAGATTAGGATGACTGTGGCATATCTTTTTAAAGATTTTTATTTCATCTCTAACAGGATCAATATTGAGCTGAATTCAGCATCTAATAGGATTTAAACATTCAATGCACACAGTGGTTTATTACATGCCTGCCATGGTGCTGTGAGGCGGGAAGGGGTGATGTGTGTGTCATAGAAGCCTGGTTCCAACATAAGCAAAGGCCTGGGATCTGGGCAGATAACGGAAGGTCTGTGGGAAGGACACTTTGATGGGGAAGAAAACCAGCCAGGAGGGCAGCCCCCAAAGGCTAGCTTGGGCCTGGTAACTTCTGGAGCAGCCACTGAGGGCCACCTTGTGGAAGTCACAGTTCAGAAGTCTCAAGAGAATTACAAATGAGAAGATTAACTCTTGAAGGTGGCTGTCCCCTGCACATAGTCTCAAGACCTGGGCTCCTGGGTGAATCAGAAATTCTCCCCTCTGAGGAAAGGGCTTTTAAAAAAATATTTATTATTTTTACTTTATATGCATGAGTGTATTGCCTGCATGTAGGTAAGTGCCTGTGTTGTACAATGCCCACAGAGGACAGAAGAAGCCATTGGATCCCTTGGAACTGGAGTTACGGACAGTTGTCAGCTGCCACATGGGTGCTGGGATTCGAACCCAGGTCTTCTACAAGAACAACCAGTGTTCTTAACCACTGAGCCATCTCTCCAGTCCTGGAAAGGTTTTTTTAATGGCCGTTTTCATCCTCTTGGACATTTCTAACAGAAGAGCTGAGTGCTAGTGGGGAACTGAATGTAAAAACATCTGGATCTTTGCAGATGTGGGAACATCTCAGAGCGGGGCACAGGCTTTCCAACGTGGACAGTCCACCACCCAATTTATAGAAAAACTTGACAAACTACTTGGGCCAATTGCTACTTACCATGGGAATTCTACCTTAGGAAGGGGAGGGGTTCTACAGCCTGCCTTGAGCATCCTATAGGGTCAAGCTCATAGTCCTCAGCACGTCCTCTTACCTCCATCCATGAGGTTGGCCCAGTAGATGACCCTGAACCCCTGGAGAATCCCATTCAAGGCTTCCTTGGACAGCGTGGACCAAGAGATTGACACACTTTCTGGCGATGTTGCTATGGCTTGGACATTTTCAGGAGGGTAACTGGGCACTGCAATTAAATAGTTAGTCTGTAACACCCACTGGTGGGTCTGTGAACAACCACTACGGAACAAGCTGTACATTTAACATTCTGACATGCAAAGAAGCAGGGAAATACGGACTCAGTCTCCACAAGAGAAGAAAAGCAATGCTTCCCCACAGGATACTGTGTGAACGAGAGCGTCTGCATCTTCAGGGTGGATAACCTCCGTTTCTCCTTCCCATCTTAGTTACTGCACTTCTGGGACGTCATCCCAAACTTGGACTGAGCACACTTCAAATCTTTTAGTTTTCAAATTTTTTGGTGCATACATGTGTATGTACATCCCATGGCCTATGTGTAGATCAGGGGACCATTTGTGGGAATCCATTCTCTTCTTCCACCATGTGGGTCTCTGGGATTGAACTCAGGTCATCAAGCTTGGCAACCAGCACCTTTACCCTGACCCATCTCACTAGCCCAATGCTCAGATTTTAATGAATGAACAGAAGACCCCCACTTGCCTGATTTACTTTCCTACCATGGCAAGTTACTGCTTTAAATTACATTACTCTATACAATGAATTATCTCCATATTTAGTGATTTTGGGCACATAAGTTAGAAGCCTATTGGAAAACAGTAAACAAAAGAAAGGTAGTCACAGAGTTTCACTGCCTCATCCCCAACCTTCCTTCATAACACTATAATGATTTAGCAGAGGCAGGGGTTAAAAATGGTGTAAGAGAGGGAAGTAGTGCGTGCTGTTGTTACAGCAGCAAAAAGCCCAGTCAGAGGGAACTGGCCGAGAAAATAACAATCTCTAGCTTGGGTGGAAACTTAGCTTTCCAATTGTGCTGGTCACAGCACCACCTCAGGAAGGTGAGGTTACTTTAAGTCTAAAGAGCTGTAATACTAAGAAAGGCGTCAGAAAACAAGCAAAGGTGTAAACTGGTTTTATTTTTTTAATGACTTATTATTTATTTTGGATCTCTGAACTATGGATTTTTTAGTACTCATTTCCAAAGAGTCATCAATATGAAATTATTACCTAAGCAGTTGCTCAACAACAGGTCATGTGAATTGGAAAGCTAAG